AATTGACATACAGAGACACCCCCCCACACACACACACACATGCTAGCTAACAGTGTTCTGAGCAGCTTCTAGATTTTCATGACCTTCCCATCTGTGCTGAAGGTGGTAGCCTTTTCTTGTGAACGTTATCTTAAGATTAGATTAAATACCAACAAATTGGGGGATTTCTTATTTTTAACCCAGAAAACAAAATAACTGCCATGGAATGTAAGATGATTCTTCCAGTTGAAGCCTGCCGGCTTTGCCCCACCTAGCTCCAAAAACTTTAAGATCCTTGGCAAGGCTATTCTGGGCCTAAGGTGGGGGTGGTGAGTCAGACGAGCCTCCTCACTCCGCCCCCACTGTTTTATTCAGGTGAAATCAGGTTAGAACAGATATAAAGGGGCCTCTTGGAAGCCAGCTCTGAGAATTGGCCTTGGACAGCCCCTAGTTGGCCGGGCTGCACAACAAGCCAACAACCTTGTTGAACACCCTGTTCAGATGCAGGCCTAAGGCTCCCTGAAACAAAGCACTCTGGTGAGTGCTTGCCATATATTTCTTAATGCTCCCGGGAGATAAGCAAATCTCTTCATGCCGGTTTTTAAATTTATCAGGATTAGCAGAGAATAAAGTAGCAAATAATCTACAGACAGGACAGGCACTGAACCTCCCTGAGAAACTGGTCACTACTGCCTCCCAGGGTGCTAGCCTAAGCCAGGCCATCTAGACTGTGGATGCAGGTGAAATCCAACCGCCTGTCATCCTGCCTTCCTGCTCTACGAACCAAGATAATTAGGACACTTGCCGAGGAGGGCTGCTTTGTAGACTCTGTGGGACTTAGCACCGATGCCAGTTAAGTAATAAGCCCCAAAGCCCTGGGAACTTAAACTAATGTCATTGGGAACTAGGCTGACCGCCCACCCACTGCCACCCCTGTCTTATGGGTGAAAATACTGAGGCATAGGCACCCAGTTCAGCAAGTCACTGAGCCCAAGGGCAGAACATGGGTGACAGTCCTGTGAACCTCAGTGCAGACTCTGCACTATTCCAGTGCTGACTAGGTGTCCACAGGTGAACAGTGAATACCAGGGTAGGGGGCATGGTGGTGTTACCTCCCTCTAGCCTGAGGCATTGGGCTGGGCTCTTCAGACAGGATCCACAGGGCTCTGACTCCCATGGTTCACGGAGACTCTTTTCATTTGTTTTTTTAGCACTACTTAAGTGGGCTTTTTATTAACAAGCTTTGTGTGTTCTGGGGACTAGTCTCTCTAGTCACCTGAACTTTACGTCAGAGATGGGATCAAGTTTCCTATTTCTTCTAGCTACCAATATGAAAGAAAGTGGCTGCAAGCCATGTCTGTGACATTTAATGGAGATTTCGCCTGAAAAAAAACAAAATACCTCTTAGCCTTTTAATTTAGCCATTCAACTTTGTGTTGTATATGTATAAGCAAATGTGTGCAACTGTTTGTGTTTGTAGTATGTGCGGTTTTGCATGCACCTGTGTGCCTGTGCACAAGTGTGGAGCTCAGAGGTTGTCAGGTTCCTCCACAATCGTTCTCTACCTAGTGTTATTGTTGCGCAATAATCTTTTTGTACACTGTGAAGACATATCTTTGCCAAGGTGCCTTCTAAATGATTTAATAAAAGGTTAAATGGTCAATAACTAGGCAGGTAAAGGTTAGGCAGGGGAGCCAGACTAGGAGAATGCCGGGAGGAAGAAAGGTGGGGTCACCAGTGAGACACAGAGGAAGCAGGTGACAAACATGCCCTGCTGGAAAAAGGTTCCACCACATAGAGCATAGATAGGAAATATGGGTTAATTTAAGATGTAAGGGCTAGCTAGTAACAAGCCTAAGCTATTTGCCAAGCATTTATAATTAGTAACAAGTCTCGGTGTGGTTATTTGGGAACTGGCTGGCAGGACAGAGCTGACTGTCAGTCCGGATGAAAAACCAAGCCTATGCTTTCTGAGCCAGACTCTCACTGGACCTGGAGCACTCTGATTCAGCTAGAGTCGCTGGACGGCAATGCCTGCCTCTGCTCCCCAGTGCTGGGATTACATTGTCCACTGCCCTTTGGTTAAACTCAGGTCCTTGCCACAAGTGGAGCTAGCACACTCACTGTCACTATGAACTTTTCACAAACTCTACCATCTGTCCCTGTGTTCCTCATAGTTGTGCCTTTTCTCAGTTATTGAGCCCTCAGCTTCAGATTTTCTCATCCACTAGTTGAGGTAGGAATACCCACTCTTCATGTTCTGTTGGTCAGGAGAAATGAGGTGCTGTGTGAGAAAAACTTTTGTAAACATTGGGGCAGTCCTCTGACTATTCTTGTACTGCATCATTCTTTGCTTCCTCAGGTGGGTGCTAAGACTGTGTCTAGCCTAGCACTCCTAGGCAGGGTGGTATGGTTGCCTGAGCTGAGTCGAAGTTTTACAGTTCAGTACGTGTGCGCATACGTGTGCGCACACAGACACACACACATCCAAACATGTATCAGCACATACATCACCCCTGTGTACACATACATACCTTTATCCACATGTGTACAAATATATACTGTGAACACATACATGCACACACACATACTCACACATTTGCACAAATGCATACACATGCATGCAGAGATACATATACACACAGACATATGTACATATACACATGTACATAAACACACACACACAGAGAGCAGGAAGGAGGAAGAGACTGCCCTGAGGTTGGAGGATTTGCCGAGTTTTAACACTTGGTGGATAAACTTGCTTACCAGTTTCCAAGCTCCACTCACTCCAGAACACCTGGGATCTTCCCTTCCTAGTTCAGGCAAAGAACCCTTGGTCCAGTTACTGGATGCATTGGAGCTTTATTTAAGAGATGTAATAGTGCTTGTTTCCCTGGGTTGTTGTGTGAACACTGACAGGTTACAGCCTGCAGTTGAAGCACTGATTTTTTCTGTCTCCTTTTAACTTTCCCCTCCTTTTTTCTTTACTCTTCTAACCCTCTCAGGCACAGCTTGCATTTCCATGCTATTGTGGTTCCGGAAGCAGTAAAGGGAGGTGGTGTCTGAAAGGAGTCTTCCCAGGTTGGCTGACCTCGAGCTGGTGAGCCCTGTGCTATTGTCAGTTGCAGCAGCCACACACAGAAGGCCACTTACCGGCTTCTCCTCCATGTTCCTCCTGATGCTCCCCTGCCTTCTAACACCTGTCACTCACCTGCCCTACCCTCTGTCTTTCAGAGTCTCCTCTTGATCCTACCACCTGGGACTATCCACTGTCCTCTGGATGCAGAAATGGTGCCCGTCTCAATCCACTGCCAACCCACTGTCACATGACATCCTAGCCCCGACTCCCGAAGCTTACTCTCATGAATAAATGCTAAAAACAGTTATTATGAAGAGGCAAGGGAAACAGGAAGTGCTTCTGAAAGCTCTCAACAAGCCACAGCCCGACAGCCCACCCACTCCCTAGGCACCACTGCCATTTGCCACCAGGCCACCAATTCCTTGTGTGATTGAGGAAGTGCAGCTTGCATCCTGGACCCCAAGGGGACCGGCAGGCATGGTCAGCCTGGAGCCAGTGGGGCGGTCCAAAGAGGCAGGGAAGCTGAGCTGCTGTATTCTGGGCACAGTGTCAAGGCCAGCTGCAGGGAGAACAAGGACTTGCTGTGTGTCTGCAGCTGGCCGTGGTTAGGCAGGGTTGTCCCTCGCTAGCGGTATATTTAAAGAGACCCCAACAGAGGGTGGTGCCAAGAGGAAGAAAGCACACAGATCTGTTTGCCACACTCAGCTCCTTCAGCTATAGCTCCCAGGCAGTGTATTTATGCATAAATGAGGAGGGCTGGCTGCTCAGCTTCTCCCAGGTGTAGGTGGCCTCAGCCACTTATCACTTGGAGACACAGGTTCTTAGCCTTTGGACCTCTATGCCCTGTAGCCAAGCTGGCAGAAAGGTGCCTCCCACCATGGTGTCAGTAACCCAGCAACCAAAAAGGGGAGGCCTGCAGATGAGTCAAGTAGCCTTGTGGAACCTCTGGCTGTGTTTATGAACACTCCCTGTGAGCATGGGCACAGCCTTCCTTCCAGCAGGGAGTGGCAGGGCCTTCCCACTCTGCCACAGGCTTAATCCTCCTGTCAGAGGGGTGGCCAGGCCTCAACAGAGGCTCATGGCTCACAACAGCTTCTAGACCTGATTTTTCTTTATCAGGATTGGGGGAGATGGTAGGAGATTTCCTCACCTGCCTGAATATGTTTTTCTCAAGTGCAAAGTAGACTGCAGGTCTGAATTCCAGGAGAAGGTGGGATTGTTAGCTAAGAATCCACAGGCAGAGGCCCAGCAAGTGAAGACAGCAGGTGTGAATAGAAATCTGGTCTCTAATAGGCCAGAGACACGCTCCTGGCAGTCGACTAGAAGACTTCAGCAGAGCAGTGCTGCAAAAGTGGGGCAGGAAGCAGGCGAGCTCATCACCCAGGCAAGGGGCGCCAACAGGCAAACTGTCTGAGGCAGGCTGCTACAAGTGCTGGAAGTCTTAGGGAAAACACAGCACACCGACAGCATGAGCTGTGTAATTGTGGGGCACAATTCAAACTGAAAACGCACAACTCTTTGTTAAAAAAAATATTCAGAGTTTCAGGATGATGACAAAGGGCTCTTCAGATCACAGGGAGCTTTGTGACTGTGTACAGGCTACACACCCTCAGGACTGCTCCTGGGCACCTGCCAGTCAGCTCTTTGAGGCAGGTGAGACAGAGGATGCTCTAATCAACTCTCAGCCCATGAGTACTACCCTTGCTGTGTCATGGCCACAGTAACCCTGGCAGCAGCCCACTTCCCTTGTTCATTTGGTGGTAACTGTCTCTTTAAGTGGAAATCATGGCTGAGGGTCAGAATGACTATGCCTGTAAGGATCCCAGAGCCCCAAGATTCACTTGCACGGGGTAAGAAGGAATTCACCAACAACCAGAGCCCTCTAAATGAGGTCATATAGATATCTGGGGACAGGATGGTCTACCTGATAGACTAGACTTACCTCCAGCTCTATGTGGTCATGGAGTTTCTTACAGGTGGCTGCAAAGGTCTCCGAGGTACCAAATTCAAAATACCACAGCTTGTTCTTCATCCTGTATCATGAAGTAGAGAGACTTTTTCAGTCAACATTCTGTAGTTGAACTGGTCCTGAGAAATAACGCTGCTCTTTGGACCGTGTGGCCCAAGCCCCCAAGTTTCCCAGTCTTATTTTGCAACACTTGTCAATCGGATTATTGAGGAATAGAAAATTTATTAACATGTTCTTGTCAGAAACAACAACAAAAAAATCTGCTCATGTCTTGGACATCACGGACTCTGGGAGAACTGCTAGTGGTACCCTGAGGTTCCTGGTTAGGGCAGGAAAGGCACGCTGTCCTATGGAAGTGCATCGAGGAGCCTTCCTGTGGAAGTCAGCCTGAGGTAGCAAATGGCAGCATGCCCTTTAAACATCAGTGTACAGCTCCCTCCTGGGCAGGGTACAAAGACCAAACAGACTTTCAAGACTTGAGACTCAATGTCTTAAGAGAGATGAGGGAAGCTCCATACTAAACCAGACCCAGTACACGATGGCTGTCTAGTTTCGGTTCAGAGGAAGCAGAGTGACAGAATTAATACAGATTGGGGAAGAGAAGGAATAAGGGTGGGCTGCTTGGGAGCCATGGCCACTGGCTTCCTAGGTGTATGTATATAGACCACATAACCCTTTTTTAGAGACGACTTGCTTCAAAGGAGGCGCTTGCCCATCTGACCATTACAAATTTTCAGTGCTTTCTTTAGGAGACAGGAATTAAAATCAATCATTGGGGTCCTTTTGAATGGGCGGGGGGGCTTTCGGAGTCAAGTGGGGTCCCTGACACTCTGGTTTGCTCAGATAGTCTCAGCAAGAAGTGTCCCTGTGGTACTCCATTCCTTCCACCCCAACTGTCACTCCATTAACAGGGGCTGGCTAAGAGAGGGGCCACCTGTCCTGCTTACAGGCAGACAGCCTTTGCTAGAGAAGGATTAAACAAAATGACATTCTTCTTGGCACTCAAGACAGAGGAAGCCTCCTCGATGGTTGCTAATCCTCAGCTCTGTGGGCCAGGGAGAAAGTACACTCTTCACAGGAAGGAGGCTCTTGCTTCTCCCCAGGTGTGGTGGCTGACTCATCAGCAGACCAGCCATGCTTTCTGTGTTTCTCCAGTAGCTCACCTAAAACTGTATTCTTCCACCCTGTGAAGATTTCCAAGATCCGGTTCGTTGGGCAGCTGCCTTTCCGACTCTATGATGTGTGTGAGAATAAATAAATGACAGGTAGGGAAAAGTGTGGGTCATTGTACTTCATAAACTCCCTGAGAAGGGTCGGGAGTACTTTAGGCCAATGCCGGCCGGCTGTGCCACTGATGGGTTGCGTTGAGTCATTGCTTTTTCAATCCCAGGGCAGCACGTGAGGTCTGGGGCAGGCTGAGCCCTGTGTTCCAGCAGGCATTCTCACCTATACCTCCATTGAGTCAAGTCAGTCTTTTCATTTCCTATGCCTGCTACAATGGGAAACACTTGAGGAGGTATCACTGTCCCACTGTACCCAGAAACGTATCTGTGTATCTCACCCAAGGATCTTGTTTAAATGGAGATTCTGGGTTAGTCGTTCACGATGGAGCCCTTGGCTCCCCTCTCTCTAACAAGCTGTTCCTGCTGCTAGATGGGAACTGGGGCTCCTCCTCCGGTTCTCAGGTTCTCAGGTATTGGCATCCCTCAGAATTCCCTGGGGAACCAGTTGAAAGGCTGTTGCCAGCCTTTGATTTGTAGACTCTGACAGCTGTGGAGCGGAGTCCAGGAGCATGTACTTTTATGGGTGTCCAGATGATCATTATGCTTATGGCCAGTGGACAAGGCCAGTGCTCCAGATGTTATGAAAACTGTTGACAAATATGGAACTACCTGAAGGAGAGGACTCCTCAGAGGAAGGGCAGGACAGCGCCTTTCAGCCGGCAGTGATGGCTAGAGACCAAGAAAGGGGGAAACACAGGTGGTTCTAAACTCCAGGGCCCTGCATTCCTTCCCAGCAGTACTAGCGGCTCTTTAGCAGAAGACTCGCCAGCCCCGGGAGCCTGTTTTCAGGCATCACTGCTGGTCTGAATCATGACTTCTGAAAGTTATTGCCTGGAGATTTAGAGTTTTAATAAAAATTTCCGGAAGCCATGGCTATTTTTGCCCCAAAGTGGCTCTTTTGATGATCTAATGAGGTTAGGAGGTCGAGACTAGGTCAGCACTGCTGAATGAGAGGACCGACTGGATTACCCATCCATGGATAGCTGTGTAGCCTTTGGCAGGATGTTTAATCTCTTTAAATTTCACTCTCCTCTCCTGTAAAACAGCAAGTGAAAGTGATCTGCTTCTCAGGATGGTGGAGAAGGCTGAATGAGATGACACCACTCACTCTTAGCCATTGCTGTTTCACAGTCAGCTGGTGTATTTGGATAACACAGTTAGGCAAAATGACAAGCCTGCCTGGCTGTATAGCTGTAGGCTTTATGTATTTATATGCACTGGGAAGGAAAATACTCAGTCATATTTGTTAGATCACATGTTTTGACTTTTGGCTAAAAAATTGTGTCCCTCATATCTAATTTAATACATTTTTAAAATAGTCATAGGCCACATCCTAGTTAATTTTCTGGACTGGCCATATGGTTGGTCAAAGACATAATATGACAAGTATGCTTCTGAGAAGCTGAACTGAATGCTTGGTATGCAACCAAACATTAGTGTGGGGTTGGGGCCATGGATCAGTGGGTAAAGGTGCTTACCACTATGCCTGATGACCCGAGTTCGATTCCTGGGACTTGCATGCTGTTCTAAAAGTTGTTCTGTTTTTTTTTTCCACACATCATAATGTAAATAAATTTCTACAAATAAATACACATACAAATAAAACCTAAAAATATTAATGTAACACACATACGATCGTGATACAGACTAGGGAGGAGTGTGTGAAATACAACAAAAACAAAATACAGAATTTCATGAACCAAGCACCTTGTAAAAGAGGACAAAGAAGGAGACAGGGTTGTGATGGGCTAAGCACTAGGGTACACAGAAGGAAAGACGCTCAGTTCTTAATGGGCTCAGAAGCAGTCAGGACAAGCGTCCCTATGGTAGGATGTTGTTATGGTTGGGTTCAGAAGAATGCAAGGAAGCAGAGATGATGAAGAAAGGCCCAACATTCTAGGCAGAGGAGGAAGCCCAGGGGTCTTTGTCTCATTTCCATTGCTATAACAAAACTCCTAGAGCTGGTCAACTTACAAAGAAAAGAGATTTGTTCAGCTTGAGGTCTAAGAACAGGGCACTGGCTCAGCTAAAGGCCTTGTGCTGTGCCATAGCATGGCTAAGAAGCAAAAAGGAGAAGCAGGTGTGTGCAGAGAGAGGAAGCAAAAGCAAACCAAGGAGGCTGTGCTTGCCCTATGACAACTCTCACAGAAACAAACTCATTCTTGAGCAAGCTACACTTCATGATGGCAGGTCCCTTATGATCCAAGGTTCCCTCAAAGGCCCTGTTGCCTCTCAAGCTTGCTACGCTGGAACGAAGCCTTAAGTAGAGTCGTGGTGAAGAAAAACCTCATCCAAGCCATAACCCCAGGAAGTGGGTCAGGGCACATGACAAGGGGATACAGAACTCAAGCAGGGGTGGGATGGAGTGCTGGCCAGCTGTAGCTGGAGAGGCAGGCTGGACATGCCAGTGTTTGGGCTTGATCATGAAGCCTATAGGGAGTCACGGGCTGCCCTTGAGCAAGAATAAGGGCACAATGGTGACAGTAATGACCTGATCTTTTGTAGGGTTCTGGATTGTATATAGTTTATATTCATGTTTGTGTGTGTGCACGTGTGTATGCAGGTACGTGTGTGTGTGTGTGTGTGTGTGTGTGTGTGTGTGTGTGTGTGTGTGTGTGTTTGTACACCATGCATGTGCAGGGCCTGAAAAGTACACAAGAGGGCATTGGACCCTTAGAACTGGAGTTGCAGATGACTGTGAGCTACCATGTGGGTTCTGGAGACAACCTGGCTCTGCTCCAAAAGCAGCCAGTGAGCCAGTGCTCTTAACCCCTGAGGTATCTCTCTAACTCCTCTTTTAAACATTTTTCATGTAAAATTGCTTAAATTCTTAGAAGAGTCTCAGAAAGCAGCTATTATTTATTCTACAAGAGGATTCAAAGATTGGATTCTCCTCTGACACCCCTTTCCCCCTTTTCCTTAGCCATCACAGCCCAGCCCCTCTTCAAAGCCTTTGGTAGGAGGTGAGAGGGGCATGGTAGCCCATAGTTTGAGGCAGGAGACTCATAGTCCCTTCTCTCTACCAACCAGAGAACACCAATACTGTCGTTCCCTCTCTTTTGGATATGCCTCCAAAGCCACATTATTCCTAAATCCTGTTGGAGGCTTCTGCTGTTCAATGTAGCTTTATCCTCTGTTGTAGGGGCCATAGCATTTGGGGGCACAGGCCTTATTTCGACAATTATTTAAGTTCTTCCAATCCTCATTGTACTGCAAAGTAGAAACGTTATTGTCTACCCAAAGAAGTTATGGAGCTTCTGTGGCAAGTGTGAAGCCCTGGTCAGAGGTCTAATGCATAGTCAGTGATCAACAAGTGTCCTTCCTTATTGCCAAGGGACACAGTTACTGAAGACTTGTTCCCTTTTGGCTTTAGAGGTAAGGGCAGGAGGATTCCCCCCCCTTCCGCCCCCAGGTGGCCAATATATTTTGAAGAAGAGAGAAAACTAACAATGTTTTAATGACTGTTGGAACACGTTTCCTGAGTTTTCTTTGGCCACTGTTTCCCTCCCTCTCAAATTAACCTTGCAGCTGGAGGTGACTAATCCTTAACCATGCCCTAGGGCTGATCTCCAGGGCCATGAGGCTCCTAATTTCAGGTTCTGATCTCCCCAGGTGGACCCATTCTTGAAGCCTCAGGCCCTCCTTTGGGCTCCAGGAGGTTCTTAGCCATGTGATAGACAACAGTGACACATGATTGATTTTGGTCCTGGTTGCCTCGAGTCCCTTTGGTTTATGGAAAATAGCATCAATGACACATGAGTTAGTTGAGTCTTTTCATTTG